AGTTACAAAGGACTTAGAAATTGTATGGTATTTTTTGAAAGGAATTTTATACATTATTCTACTGTTGTAATAGTTCCGACGACATAGTTATAATTCACATTTGGTCACATTATGGAGTCAAATGTCCCACCACTTACAATGAAATGATCCAAATTTAAATATTAACTTTGCTTTATATGAATATTTTAAAAACAAAAATCAACAAACAATGTTTGAGAACGTTTCCGTAAAGAACAAAATGCGAGCGAAATTCTCGGGAACGTTCCCAAGAAGTACAGAATGAGAACGAAACTTTCGGGAACGTTTCCAGTGAGAAAAAAATGAGAAAGAAAGTATCGAGAACGTTTTCGAGGAGCATCAAATAAGAAAAAAAGTCTGATAGAGAACAAACATTTTGAGAACTTAACTAACTTAATTAGAGGGGACTCTGCTTGTTGTGACTAAAAATCGTTTAAATAAGATTAACGATTTTTAATTCTAAGCCAGAGGAAGCCAGACTTCCAGCTCATCTAGCATTAGGGTGACCATTTATGGAACAATTTTTCATTTTTTGTGAAAAAAAAAAAAAAAAAAAAAAAAAATTTTGTGTCTTTAGTCTTTCGTTGACTTAATTTGCATAGTAATCTTCCAGTTATTTTTTGATTAATTTTAATATTCAAGCATTTCAAACTAATGAACGCTATGTGAAAAATTTTTTCTTTTCGCTTTCATTTTTCGCGAATAGTTCAGAGTAGGGCTGTGCGATTATTCGATTACTCGAGCAAGTTGGTTAATCAATTATTCGGTTAATCAATTACTCGAGTAATCAAGATTTTGATTACTCAAAACGATGATTAATCGAGTTACTTGAAATATGATTACTCAAAAAAAATAATTTTGCTCGTTAAAAGAGTTTGCTTTGGAAAATGCTTATTTTCTTTTTTACATTCTGTATATGAAACAAATTTTTTGTTTTAATTTTTGAAAACAGAAACGTTGTATCAAGGAACTTTAGCTACTTTATACATATGTAAAGAGTTGAAATGTTGATTACTCATTTTACTCGAAATGTTGATTAATCATAAAGCAAATTACTCAAATATTTTTGTTTTTGGTTAATCAAAAATCTTGATTACTCGAGTAACTGAACTTTTGAGTAATCATAATTTCCAATTAATCGAATAATTGAGTTATTTACTTTATGATTAATTAAAATTTTGAGTAATCAATTAATCGCACAGCCCTAGTTCAGAGAAGATTTGTTCCCGTTTCGTTGTGTGTCAGAAAGTTCCTGACATTTTAGTTCCCAAATTGTGCTTCGAGAAAAAGTTTGAACTTTTGTTCCCTTTTAGTTCTCTTAGAAATGTTCCCAAGTTGTTTGCATTTTGTTCTCTTTGGAAACGTTCCACAGGGTTTTGTGCTTATATAATTCCCATTGAGAACGTTCTTGACAGTTTTGTTTTCATTTTTGTATTGATTTTGAAGCGTTTTTTGGGAACAAAACGACATTTACTTTCGATCATATTTTTCGTTCTCGGTACCGGTTTTAACTATTTTCTTCTTTAAAAAAAATATAATAAAAAAATGATTATGAAATATTTAGGTTAACGAGAAAATAGTGAAGCAAAACCAGTAAACTTTATGTCCCGAAATTACAAATTTTTTGAAAATTTAAAATAGAATTAAAGATATACATACATATGTATAAAGAGAGGAAACGAACTAAAAAATTTCGTAGTGCTTATAAGCGGGTAATGCTTACAATCGGGGTGTTTATGATCCAGAAACACTGGACACCTATTCATTGCGCCAATTTATGAATGTAAACACATTTCTAAGCATACTTATTACATATGTATGTACACACATATATGTACATATATAAATTTATACAATATGTACTATATACCTACATACAAATATTCTAGTAAGAGATAATTTTTAAGCTGTTTTCAATGACATAAGTAATCTAAAATATGTGAGGAAGTGAATATATAAACACAAAAAACAAACATAAACACATACATACATATGCATACATATTCATACCCGCGCATTCATTGTTAATGAGGTTTTGATTAGTTTTGTAATTGTTCAATAAAAATACGTGAATGAGTTGATATAAAAAAACAGCAACGAACATATGTATGTATGTATATACATATGTACATAAGCTTGACAGCAATAAATCTCAGAGATCATTATCTTTTCAGTTGCTTAATTGAAGAAACGAATGCTCATCGTATTACTTTTTTCGCTAACTAAAAGCGCAAGAAGCAACTAAATAAATACATATTTATATATGTATGTATGTATGTAAACACATTTTTAGATGCATACATATGTGCCATAAAAAAACTTTTGTACATAGATGTGAGTGTACTGTGTCACTATGTATGCAAATATGTACATACACATGTATGTAAATAAATTATTTGCCCCATTTCGGCACTTTTGTAGAATTAAGCGCATTTTAAATAAAAAAAGGCAAACAAAAATATAAAAACCAATTTTTTTGTTTCATAAAAAAATGTCGCTTGCTACAAAATAAAGCAACTTTGTAATAAATTGTTCGACATCAATTAGTTCGGCAGCTTAACAGCCTGTATCTTTCAAACTCAATGACGAACTTAAATATTTGCACAAGCGCCAATAAATTTTCCCTGAGCGACATCTAAATTTGTCATTTCCAATTTTCTAAAAAAAAACACAAATGTTAACGGAGAAAACTTCAAATTTGGTAAAAAAAAAAAAAACAAGCAATGTACGCACGGATCTGAGATTTATCGTCGTAATTAAGCAATTTAATGAAGTCAACTTGTCTCCAACTGTTTACATGCATACATATTTAGCTGAGAGGTCTAATAGCAGTAATTTAAATGGCAAATCGATTTTATGTTTGCATATTAATTGCCATTTTAATAAGATTCGGTTTTTTTTTTTGTTAAGTTGCACACGAATGCGCGTCTGACGCACCTGTTGATTGCTGCCAAATGAAGTGAGACATTTCGGCCGAGCTGATGAATGCATTTTCATTTCAACAGTTGTAGTTCACCAAATTAACATTCCAACACTTTGCCTCCCCACTCGCAGTTGGCAAGCTTTTAATTAAACAAAAAGAACTATAATAATTCAGCAATTAATTTAATGATTTACCAGCAACTCAAAATAAAAAAGAGAAAAAAATGCAAAAAATTGACTGCCCCGGGTGAGGCTCGAACTCACGACCTTAAGATTATGAGACTTACGCGCTGCCTACTGCGCCACCGAGGCTATGTCGGGGTTCTGGCAAAGAGCGCAATTGAAACTAGGGACGCTTTAGAATGTTCTCACTACTTTCTGAAAGTGTTGCCACTCAAATAATATTACGTAAGGTTCTTGCCAGATATTTGTAATTATTATTGGAGTAATTTGAGTGCTATCGAAAAAAACACTTTAGCCGCATTCTATTGCAATCGAGTATAAAATTAAAATTCGATATAAACAAGGCAGTTGTTACGATAAAAAGAAAACATAATTATGCCAATGTGCCATGGAAAAGTACTTGGAACATTTTTTTTTCTCTTGAGTCAATTCTTATCTTGAAAAATCTCGAAGGATCCCGACAGATAAAACACGAAATATTTACGCGGGTTCCTCAAAAATAAAAAAAAAACCTCATGAAAAAGATTTTAAAGCAAGGACGGAAAATAATCATTATTTTTCTAAATTTAACCAAAAAAATCAACAAGTTGTAATTATTGTAAAACAATTTTAATATACTCACGTATTTGTATACGTACGTCCTACTGCAATTTACAATGATTTTTATATTTCGAGTTTAACCAATACAGATTAAAAATAATAACTAATATTTGAGTTTTGATTTTTCGCTCAAAGGTAATTATTATTACTTGATTTTTATTTTTTTTCGCTCAAATATAATAATTATGACTGAGTTCTATTTCTTCACTTGAGAATAATGATCATTCAAAAAACTCAAAAGCTATACCAGCATGATTTCCGACGAATCCGTTTCAGAGGTAGCGACACCCTAATAAAAGGAATAAGTTCCAAAATATTAGTAAATTGCGTCTGTACGGCCTTTAAATGGAAAAATAAGGCTGAATAACAATTATTGTCTCTGGGCGAAAAAATAAAAATCATTATATGATCATTATATTTGTTAAAAAAATAATAATCATACTCGTTGAGCGAAAAAATAAAAGTCAATATTAATTATTATTTTTTAGCGAAAAAAATCGTAAATAATGAATAAATACTGGCTTAAATTGTTTTACTCATAATGATTACCGTCCCTGCTTTAAAGTAAAATAACAACAAGGGTCTTCACACCTGCTAGTTGGTACTCGGTAATTTTATCAACCGTGAACGTCCTTTTCATCTTTCTTTTGTTAGTATAGAAAGCCATGTTTCTGCTGATTCGTGGTTTTTTTCCTATAAAAAAATAAATTGTAGCGGCAGCGGGCGTATTTAAAGTTGGATAAATATCGAACAGCTGATTGCAGTTTACCAAAGAACGTAATATTATTTACATAATATGTTAATTACGTTCTTTGGTCAAAATCGTGGCACATTTTCAAAGTAACGAGTTGTCGCTTCTTATACATTTACGTTCTTTGATCCAAATAGTGTTTAATTTTTTCGATAACGAGCAAGCTTATCGATTTTTAGTACACTCAAATTAAAATCCGCCCATCTGGCAGCACTCGCTGTCTTCTATTCTGAGTTTGACATTCGGTGCAGTGCTGGCTGTCAGTTTTGTTGACAAGAACATTTTGCAAAAATATAAAACCAGCGAAAAGGTGAGCAGAAAATATTTATTAATTTAAACAAAAAGAAACAAGCGCCAGTGTTAAGAAGTTTAGCTTTTCGATTGTCAATGGTGGCTTGTATGTGAATAGCGTATTATGCGAAGATATGTGAAATTTCAGTTGTTGCCCGTGCATTTTTTTCTTTCAGATAATTTGCCTCTGCCGTGCATAGAAATTAGTACGTATGTTCGTTTGCTTGTGTGGTTGACCCGCGTTTTGTTTTTGTTGCACGGGCGTTCTAGCAAGCGCCATCCATGTGCTCAGCTCTGCCCTTGTTGCCGCTACAGTCTTTTTGTATATTTGTTGGTGTGTTTACGCGTTTAAGATAATTCTGATAAGCGTTTTGAGTTCTTTTAGTTTTTGGAAAAATTAAGATGTGATTGATAGATAAGAAAATTCGCCAAATAAGTGTTGGGTAAATATGTAAATGAAAATTACAGGACAAAGTGTAGAGCGTAGAATCGAAGAAAATTTGGGCTTTCCCTAACAAAACTCTAGACCCTACTTAGCAGGGACAGAAATTGTGTTCTCGGAAGAGGTGAAGTATCTAGCGTAGCTCAGGGCAAAAGGCTCAATTGGAAATCACATCTCTCGAATGCTACCAACAAAACTACAAGTGTGTTTTATGCCTGTCAGAGGCTTCATGGTAGGGCTTGGGGAATATCACCCTATGTAATGTATTGGTATTTAAATACGGTAGTAAAACCCGTTGTTACATATGTGGCGAGTAAACGCGGGTGCCAGCTTGAGCAGCTGCACCGACTGGTCTGCGTAGCCATCACAGGAGCTATGCGTACCTGTCCAACGGATGCCTTTGATGTCTTTACAGGCATTTCTTTCTTGTCTATTCTGATTGAAAAAGCGGCCTGCTGGAGCGCCCCACGGAAATTCAATACAATCAGAATGAAAAGTAGAGATCTTCGGGGTCGTTTGGAGGCTCTCAAGCTATTCCTGGATGATCCCGAGTTATCCTACTACAAACCCTACAAGGTCAGAATAACTAAAAGGAACTGCTGTGAAGCGATCATAACTATATACCGATGGATCGAGTATGGACGACGGAAATACTTTGGCAGACGTACATGGACCAAGATACTAAGAAAGTCTCTGAATATACCAAGCGGAAATCTTCGCAATAGAAGTCTGTGTTCGCGAGTTTCTTCGGCCATCATAAATATTATGCCGGATAGACAGGTAGCCTTAAAGGCCTTACACTCTTAAACAGGATTAAGGCTTATTGGCAGCTGGAAAACTCTTTAGAACCACAATAGCGTAACGATGTGGTGGCTTCCGGTTTCTCAAAGCATGCAGCCCAAATGCGCTTGTATGGTCCGGAGCCGTCGGTCGGCTGGTGGAGGAAACCCTACGTATCACGAACAGCAGACTGATACAACCAGTGGACCCGTTAGCTTAAGGACAGACCCTGTCGGAAGTCGCGGACATCCTCGGCCTCCCCTTAGCTGAAACGCACGACAACGTTGACGGATGAACCGACCCGAGCGAGGTTTAGTAGCCGCTACAACAACAACAACAACAGCCTTGGGGAACGATTGTCTTGTCCATCCAAAATTTGGAACATAAATATTCTTAGAAGTATTTTGGGTTGAATTTCCGTTGAATTTCCCTTGTCAAATTTGGTTTGGAGACAAATCGGTTTCGGCGTTGTGCCATCTTCAGTGTATTTTTTCTTCGGAAACAACAATAACAAAAAAGGAAAGGTATTCTTTGTCCCTGACACTAAGCTTATTTGTTTTTATTTTACTAGCTCTGGTTTAGTTTAACTAAATGTTATGTTATCTACATTTTTAATAAACTTGGCATTGAAAAAGATATTAAAAACTCGAAACAAAATTTTTGGTAGGGTTTGGTTGGTTTTGGTAGGAAAAAAAAAAAATTGTCCGTGGCAACACTGAATGTAAGTGCGAATAAAATATTCTGCTCCGAAGTATGAAACTTTTGGTGCTGTAAAGCTTTTAAGCTTCTTTATTTGAAAATAAACCTGCTCGTTTTAAAAGTTATACAGCAATTTTTACACTGGTAAAAAATTAGGTATGAAAAATTGAAAAAATAAAAACTGGCATATCTATGAACTTGGTTTAATTATAATCGTACCAAACCGTCATAAAGGTTATTCAACCTTTCGCTTAATCTGTCGATACTACTTAAGTCGAAGATATGACATACAAATTTTGGTCCCGATTGGAGTAAAAAATTTATATGTGATATCTTCGAATATAGTAGTATCGATTTTGAGTATTAGATGAAAAAAAATTAATTTTTATTTTTTGAGATTCCATAGAGGATCTGAACTTTTATGTTTTGGCTACTAAATATTTTTATTGTCATTAGAAGCGTTCTCCAGGCCAAAATATTTAAACTGGGCTCCTTAAAGCCATCTAAAGTTTAGCTGACTATTGGGGCGATTTGATAAAATTTTTCAGTTACACAACTTCCGTAAGTTCATAAAACTGCGTTATCACACGCAGACTCCAATTTGAAAGCTCTGCTGTATACTTACATATGTAAAATTTACATACATACATATGTGCATGCATATGCCCATATATGTACATACATATATATACATAGGTGCCATGATTTTTGTGGGTGACAATAAAGTTTACATTGAGTGTCGTCTGCTCTGAGTGCTCAGACTGATAAGCTCTATAATGCTGTTTTGCAAAGTACCTTGATCCCTGCCAGCCAATAATTGTAGCTGCTTATATAGTATCATTCATATTTGTATCATTGTCATCTGCATCGACATTTTTGTGAAGATTACCAGCTTTGGCGTCAGCTTAGGGTGTACTGCTTGTCGAATTATTGGGTTGTTGAATGTTTTACCTAAGTTTGTGTGCATTGTACATAGTTACATACATACATATGTACATACTAAGTATGAAAGCCTGCGTATGAAATCCACATAAGACTATTCTAAAAAATTTCCAATTATGTACGTATGGGAAATACTATTCAATACATACATACATATATCGCGCGATTAATAATATAGAGAAGTATTTAATTCAAAATTTACGTTTTTGGATATTTCATCATCATACAATTAATAAGCTTGATAAGGAGAATATGTACCGATTTTCATCGTGCTTGATGGGTACATATTAAAAAAATTTTACGACTGCTTTTTGAGTGGTCCCATTATCGCACAGTGCAACAAACTTTTCCGGTACATATCGGCCAAATTAAATATATGACGAACTTTGAAATATTACAGCTAAACGACCAAACACGTAAACTTAATTTTGACCTCTAGATTATGATACCGTTTTCAGAAAAATCCGTATCACGTCAAAATTTTGAGATATTTAAGAGGGAAGTTTTACTGCTCTGAAAATAAATTTTATTTCTGAACAAAGGTTTCGATAGTTGATCTTACTTGACTGGGACCTTTTAAATTTAATGGCGTCTCCCGGGTTTGTAAGATTGGCTCCAGTTTTCGATATAACGGTACTTGAAAATTTGCTTAAACTTTATTCTTTTGGTTAACAATTAAGTTTTAAAGTTAGTTTACTAAAATTTTACATGTGACTGTTTTTAGATATTAGCATAACTACTTTTGAAAATCGTCGAAATTGGTTCATTGTAACTCATATGTAGCTCCCATACAACTGACTTCTCAGATATGTGGTTTAGCGTTATAACTCATATTTAATTTCGTAATATTTTTTAATTTTATTGGGTTGTACACTATTTGGACCTGAACTTGGGTTCTTTTCAATCCCATTCTGGAATATTTTTGCGTATTTTCAAATTTCCAATGGTACGAATGGGTTTTTAATACCTTTTTTGAGCTGTGAAGCTGTTGCTGAAGTCAAAGTGACTGTGTAATGTCTTCCAATAGGCAGCGGCCTATACCGCGTCATATTTGGCCTGTGCACAGAGTCATAATCGACGAAAATTTCACTTTCAGAGCTCTGCAACTTCCCTCCTAAATATTTTAAAATTTTGCCGTGATATAGATTTTCTGGGAACGGCATCTCCATCTAGAGGCCAAAATTAAGTTTACGTGTTTGGCCGTTTAGCTATGATATTTTTGCCTCCCTACTGTGTTGTGTTATCGTCGGTACAGCAATATTACTTTTGGTTGCTATAGTCAGCACAATTTCGGATCAGATTGTCGCATTTCGAAAAATGAAACGAAAATCGGCCCATTACGCCGATAACGAGATCTTAGCTTGACAGATCACTCAACATGATGAGGGCCAGATAATCCCCTGTCCCTATGTTGTTGTTGTTGTTGTAGCGGCTACAACAGAGCTTGCGTTTCCTTGTTGGATACTGATTATCTCTTCATATGCTCATTTCTCATGTTGTTGTTGTAACAGGATACAAATTTCCAAAGTGTTTTTGGAGAATGATGCTGGAGTGACAGTCCTCGGACAGATATAAATCTGGATCGTTCCGCTTACGTAGACCCGACTGTAGTGTGTCACTTCTCATCTCATACTCTGCTTTACAGTGAGATTGAAGGCAATATTTTATAAACTCACTAACAACACAAACAACAACCAGCTTTTTAATCGGACAGAAACCGTAACAAATATTTAAAACGACTTATTTATAGTTCAAAGTTATTCAAAGTTTCAAAGCGATTCTCGTTTAAAGGCAATGCCGCTAATAGTTTCTCAAATATTTTTGTGGATGATTAAACCAAGTGTGCGTGATATTAATGATCTGATCCTCTTTTTATTTAGTACGCATGTCCTTTTTTGTGAAACTTGCCATCTGGTAGGCTTTTGGTGTAGAGTACTGGTGCGCGTTGTTTTTTTTTTAGCATAAAACTTATCTGTTTCATACCTTTTAAAAACCTTTCATTTTTCTAAAACTTCAAACCTAGAAAATGAGGCTGGTCAACAGAAATTTCGATAAAGGCGCGCAGGGTTCTGTCACCCTGATACCAGAAGAACCTGAAGATATGTGGCATACCTACAATCTGATTGCCGAGGGCGATCAAGTGCGGAGCACAACTATACGAAAGGTGCAAAATGAGTCAGCGACCGGCTCATCGACGAGCAGTCGTGTACGCACCACACTTACGATCAGCGTTGAGTCCATAGACTTTGATACACAAGCCTGCATGCTGCGCTTAAAGGGACGCAACATCGAGGAGAACCAATACGTTAAGATGGGTGCATATCACACGCTCGACTTGGAGTTGAATCGAAAATTTGAGATACGCAAAGCAGAATGGGATACAATAGCGCTGGAACGCATCGAAATGGCCTGCGATCCCACACAGTCGTCCGATTTGGCAGCGATTGTAATGCAGGAGGGTCTGGCCTATGTCTGTCTGATTACGGCTAGCATGACGCTGGTGCGTAGCAAAATCGAGGTGTCAATACCGCGCAAGCGCAAAGGTCACACACAACAGCATGAGAAAGGGTTGGTGAAGTTTTACGAGAGCGTCATGCAGGGCATACTGAGGCATGTGAATTTCGACATAGTTAAATGTGTGCTGATAGCATCGCCGGGATTCGTGCGGGATCAGTTCTACGAATACATGTACCAGCAGGCAGTGAAAAATGATATAAAATTGTTATTGGATAACAAGAGCAAATTCATACTTGTGCGCTCATCTTCGGGTTTCAAGCAATCCTTGAAAGAGGTGCTGCAGGATCCCAGCGTAATGGTGAAAATATCCGACACAAAAGCAGTTAGAGAAGTGAAAGTGCTAGAACAGTTCTATACTATACTACATTGTGAACCGGCGAGGGCATTCTATGGCAAAAAGCATGTGTTGGAGGCTGCCAAAGCGATGGCGATAGAAACTCTGCTGATTTCGGATAACCTCTTTCGATGTCAGGATGTGCAGCAGCGCAAGGAGTTTGTAAATCTGGTCGAATCCGTGCGCGAGGCGGGTGGTGAAGTGAAGATATTCTCCAGCATGCATATTTCAGGAGAACAATTGGCTAATCTTACCGGCATAGCAGCTATTTTGCGCTTCCCGATGCCTGAACTTGATGACAGCGGGGATGAGGATGATGATGATGATGACTCTGTCAACTCCGAATAATGACTTTTATGCATAGCATTAGATGAGCTTTTACATACACACCTACATATATGTTAAATAAATTAGTAATTAGTGAAACAATATTTAATCAAAACATTTAAGTTATTTTAATTAACAATAAAAAAATTACCGACTAACGTAAATTTACTACATTTTATTTGTTAGTATTATTTTCGAGTGTTAATTAAAAATATTCAT